TGGGGGTGGGGCGGGGCCTGGGAATCTGGGCTGGCAGCCCTTCTCTTTCTCTAAAGGGGGAGGCTGTTTTTGGGCTGGGCTGCTGAAGACCAGGTTGCCTAACCCGAAAGCCTCGATTCTTTCACCAAAAAGAATCCCGGCGAGCGGTCGGACGGCGGCCCCCCCCCCCCCGCCCCCTCCCACAACCCTCCAGGTTTTTTTTTTCCACTCGCTTTCCCGGCGTCTGTACAAGCTCATGGGGACGAGGCAGACCGACTGGAAGTGTTCAGGTCATTTTATTCTTAAATTATGTACAAAGTAAACAGTAAATAGATTAAAGGAGCGCTGCGTGTATAAGATTAAAATAATCCAATCTTAAGTTTTGAAGCTTTCGCCAATGGAAATACAAAATCCTTTAGGAGATTAATAAGCTCCCCTCTCACCTAAAAACGAAAAATATATATAGTTTAGTATCCTAGACTCAGTGATAGGAAAAATGTAAGAAAACGCTTACGGAAAGCCATCTTAAAAGAACCGTGTTCACCAAAACTACTTTAGGAAGTTGTTGGTTTGTTTGGAAAAAGGCCAGTTTAATTTCATATATCAAAGTAACGAAGGAAGAGTTGTAACGTAAAACCTCAAAAGAAAATAACGATTGCCAGAATTTAGCGCAATGAAAAAGAGACTCAGTCGGCGAGTTGCAGACATGGTTCTGTGCATTGCACAAGGCTTGGACGAAGACTGGCCTACAGTACCCTGAGCGGGGTATTCAATGATACCACTTTTAAACACCCAGTTAAAACCATATTTCCTGTTCAAGTATCTAGCCCTTAAAACAAACAGCTTTCGAGTACAGGGTTATCAGGACTAATTTACTGTTCAGATAACTACACGCTAAGAAAACAGCTATTGAATTTTACTGTACCTCTGGAATATCGATCATTCTTCGAAGCTTTTGATCTCGCCATGTCCAATCGAGTATTACATATTTTAACCTTGATGTTTTAAGAGTACCTATAGATTAAAACAAGGTACACTGTGAGCTAGCTAAACAATAGACGGCACTTTCTGTTGGTTTTGTTTCGCCGGGCAAAATATGCTCCATGGACTGTAGGAAAAAGTTTGCAAATCACAAGCCGAGGGCGAGTAACATATTTTTCGAAAACTTCACCAACATCTGAAGCGGATTTGGATTGAAAAACGGTGGTGATGGTAAACCTGATGTTTGGTCTTAAGACCCGTTCATCTTCTTTAATGCGTGATGGGCAAGTTGGCGAGAAGACCAAAGCCTTGCAGTAAGCAATTCAAAGTCACATAAGCTTTAATTTTTGTAATTCGCAGCAACTTTCCGCCAATTCCAGGTTGGATTGAAACACACCATGCCAGGAGGCCTAAAGCTGCTAATCTCGTATATCTTTAGCGGAGGAGTTCCTCAGGATCGGATGGACTTTGGATACTCATACAATGGTAAGTAATTACACAAAGCCTTTTTTTGTCTATGAATACAAAAATAATATCCTTTACAGAGTACTTGTTTTGGGGTATAATAAACAATTTTTATTCACCAATAAGAATCTCAGTCATTGTGGCTACTAAAACCGAAACATCTGCTATAGAGTGGTTTTCGTTTGAGTGTCGTAAAACCAAAACCAAAGTAATTACTCTGGCCAATCACATAGGACACAGACAATACATTGAACCAATCAAAACTCGAAGTAATTACATGTGGCTGACGCAAAGCGCGGGAAAATGCATGCGAGCGCGTCACAATTGGCTTTGGTCTTACTTCTGATTGGATGAAAAGGTGGCGCGAATCTTTTAAGCCAATCGCATCGTGTAGAAAGTGCAAAACCAATTACTTTTCGACACTCAAATGAAAACCGCTATATTAGGGAGCTTAAGCAACGACGACGACGACGGCAGTGAAAACTTCGCTAAAATTTGAATTTGCGTCCTTTCAAACTTTATCACGTCTATTTGTACCCACTCAATTTGTCTATGTAGGTAATTTTTCCTAGAGTTGAATTCTTTTAAATGACTTTACCCAGGTTCAAAAAGATAAAGGAAGATTCTTCCATTACTGCTTCTCCGTAAAGGTGATGTTACATGGAACGATTTGCAACGACGATTTTTAGCGGAAAGTGGTTGCTCAAAAGTTCCCTATTATAACTATGCACAAAACGGATGGCTTTAGAGCAAATGAGTCATTAAGATTAAAGTCTTTACAAACGCGAAAGTCTTATGGTTAAAGGTGGAGTTCATTTACCATTTTGCAGTAGCTTTAGTATGCGACTTGGTGTTCCAATACCAAAGTGAACCACATGTGAGTCGAGAAAAGACTCTTGCTCGGACATCTGAAAGAAACGTCACCTTTTTCAAGTTACTAGCTAGTATATTCCTCACAAACTCAGTGATAACAAACATTCGCAGTTAGAAAAAAAAAAGTAACAAGTCGCACTAAGACTTGTTCAGAAATCAAAACTAAGCGTAATGATCCAGTTTTGTTACGCGTTACTGTATTCATACGATAACCAATTTTAGGAAACCATCAATGAATTGTCCTTGGCTATAGATTACCAGGAAAAAGTTTTAACATTCAGGAAAAGTTCCTAAACTACGCGTTTGGGTTTTGTCCTTTTACAAAATCAGCATGTGTATAGGGGAATTGGTAGGCAAAAAGCCTGCAGAACAGGTGTTATTTTATTTATATTTTTTTCGCGTTTTTCAGGCGAACGACGGCGGCGCGAGGCGAGCGTGGAGCTCGAGACACGCGCAACGGGGGAGGCAGCGGTTGTCACGCGCTCCAAGCCCGCTTCTTTGTGCTTTCGCACGCCTAAAAAACGAGAAAAAATAACGCCTGTTCTGCAAGCTAGGAATTGGCATTCCCCTAATTTCAGCACAATTGTGACAATAAATGACAAAATATCCACACAAAAAAGTGGGGATTCACATGAGAAGCTCACTGTTTAACCCTATTTCAACTCGAAAGATTGTGACGTAAGGACTTGTCAGAAGTTAGCAGGGGAGGAGGGGGGGTGGGAATTTTAAATCTGGGTTCGGAAATGAGGTGACCCATCCCTGCAATAGGAGTACAATTTGCTAACCCTCCCCTTGACCTTGAACTAAAATATCATGACCCTTACCCTCTTGTATAAGTGATAAAATCTAGTTCTTGCAATACACTAGAGTGAGTTAGTATTAGGAAAACTCAAAATATATTTCTAATTTGTTCTTTGTAATGCCATATACATACATTTTAGATGAGTCCGACTCTGATTCTGACAGCTGATCACTCGACTCTCCTATTTCTCCCAAGTTTTTTTACAAAATAAAGAACTTTCGTTTTTCTTCTATGGGTGAACTTCTATATGATCACAGGCATATATTTGCATGACCCTTCCCCTTTTAACGGTCCATTTTTCATGACCCCTCCCTTTTCTGAGTCTCAAAAAGTTGCGACCCTACCTCTGTTTCCACCTCCCCTCCCCCGTGCTAATTTCTGACAAGTCCCTACGAGAAAGCACTCAAGAATAATAGTAAGTAGGGGCGAATGTTGTTTTCACGAAAACCATCGTTTCCTGCCTCCTTCACCTGCCCAGCCCAAATGGAAATCCCTGGAAGATAAAAGTATCATTACCTTCATGTGCTTGGCAAATAATTTAACAGTTTTACAGTTTCCTTTGAATTCTGCTGCCGACCTATACACAAAAAAAATCTTCACGTTATACGTCAGTCTTTATTTGCAGTTACTCGCTTCTATCTTTAGAACTTTGTCGCGAAGGTGCGATAATAAAATGCAAGGCACTGACCCTGTTAAGACGCCGTACTTCTGTCACATAGGCCGAATCAAATTAATTACGGCCACCGGAATTGATCCAGACGCTGATTTTTACTCCAGCCGAACAAAATTCAAAGGGAAAAAACACGCATTTCGATAAACTGCATTATAAAAATTTAATGCATTTTGTTCGGCTCATTTTAAGTTCGGCGTCTGAATTAAAGCTGGTCCACACCCGTATTTCCGGTTGACCCAGGCGTGAAGAACGCTGGGCTGAGCTGATCCAAATTCAAACGTCGTACTTTCACATGAACTTATTTCATTGAATTCAATTACTTCTGCCGTCGAGTATTTTCTTCACGTATTACATGTTATTTTCCATATCTCTACTCACAACAGAGAAGAGTTTGATTTACTTATGATCCACGTCTACAGGTATTAACGTCTACAGCATGGCAGCATGGTAGATAACGAAATTTTCCAGAAAAGAACGCCACTATACTGCTTTAGTTAATTTACCAGTAAGGCGAAATGTAAACATTGATCTTAACAAAGATTGGCTAAGACCCATCTCCTACTAACCTATTAAGATCCACAGCTCTAGTGGCAGCTGATGATAGAACGAGTAGGATTGGAGCTCCTTTATCGCCTCTCCTGTCAAGTTTGGCAACATTTCCTGACCAGTGAGGGATGACTGTAATAAAGAGTTAAAAGAAAAACAATCTCTACCCAATGCATTATCTTTTGCCGTGCTAAATAACAACTCTTCTCAGTAATATTGGCACGCCGGAGCACTACACTATACTCTGCCTTCTCCACTCTCCTCCTTACTACTTAATAAAATTTTTCCTTTATTAGCACTTATAAAATACTTCAGTATTTGCGGCACCTTAGCGCAACAGAACAACGTCCCTTTATCGACCTGAAAAGCTGTATGGTAGACAGTACTTTTCAACAAAATATGCATTTTAACTCCAAAAGAGCAGTTAAAATTTTAGGTTCAGAATGACCCCTTTTGGGGGTTTGTTTTAACACCATATTTATCCCGAACTTTTGAGTTAAAATAAACAACCCCTCCTTTGAATTCATTTTAGTTCTATCACACAGGAAAATACCTCCTTTTTGCAGTTAAAATTGCTCCGAACCATTAATTTAACCCCACCACTGAAGTTATCATAACTCTTCTAAAGACACTGTGTAGTTAGGTAATGAAACTTTTATAGGAGGATTTTTAAAAATTTTATCCCGCGCAACAAGCCTGAATTTGTTTTCAGGCTTTGCCAGAACGTCTCATTTAAATAAGTTGTGTATTTAAATGCAGTGGTCTCTTTCCTAATAAAAGCTGTAATTGACATAACAAACCTTTACTGAGGTAAGGAATGACTTCCGCCAGCACACCAGTGTGGGTTGAATCATCTAATAAACAACAAGAACCTAAATACAAGAAGAAAATTCCATCATCATTTCTCATCAATAATCAGTAAGGACTTTCCCCAGCGTATTAGTCCGCTTGTGTAACAAACGCTTTGTATTATTTTCTAATTAGTTCTCTCGAAAACATTCCACCTGACCTTGTCTTTCCTCTTAATGTTAATGGAACTCGGTTAATACGGACACCAAGGGGTAGCCTGCTTGGCAGACGAAAAAGGAGAGGGGGAAGGGGTGAGGGAGAAAAGGGCGAAAGGGAAAAGCGAAGGGAGCGCCTACTATAAGAGCCGGTGTTTTTGTATTCCGCCCACCAATTTCCTTAACTAATCCGATAATGCCATTTATCAATACGCGACTAATCACAAGTAGGGGGCGCTTCTCAGCATGGTCCAAACTTAATTGCGTTTTTATACCTTACCCTCTATCCCCAATCCTCTTCCCTTTTTCCCTTCCTCCCAATCCCGTGCCCCTTACGACGCCAGCTTATTGACAGAAATCGTGGACATTTTGAGCGCGTGAATAATCGTCAGCGGTGTACACATTACGCTAGAGAAGGACAATTTCAATATGGCGGAGGTTGCGGCTCGATGCGGAAAGCAGCCTGTCTGTCACGCGATGTGGCGCACAATTTAAACAGTGCAGACATATTATATGATGTAAATAAGTAGAAAAGAACGACTAAAGTTAAATCTATGGGGTTTTATGAGGCTGAACGACTCATGGCGTCCCAGGCTTGGCGGCCAAGCCGACGGAAAGGGATGCCCACAAAAAAAAGAAATTCGTGCTGCTAGGCTGCCTGCTGTTTCACATAATAAAGAAAAAGCTCATTGCTTAATTTCAGAGCCCAATCTAATTTCTGCTTTTTGTAATTTTCGAGGATATCACGCATTTTAGTAGAGCGAAATAATTTTTCAGAATGTTTTCGAGTTCGTGTTTCCCACGTATTTACTTCCAAATAAACCTAGCCTGGTATACTGATCAGGAGTCCTGGGACCTAGAATATGCCGTCAAACACTGCGGGTTGAATAACAACAAACAAAATGGCTTCTCGAAAACGAACCATGTTAGACCCAGCAGGCGTCCCGAAACATGTAATTACCATATAAATGTATTACTGTATATCCCGAGAACCCATGTTAACCCCTGATTGACCTTGTTTCACCTCGTTTACCCATGTGAAACCCAATTTAGCAACGTTTTACCCCGTTTACCCTTGTTTACCCTAGGATATCCACGTTTACTTAATCAATGCTTACGTAAACCACTTAAACGGATTCGAGTCGTAATCTCGATATTGAAAAATCTGGAGAAAACTATACAGTCGACTCTCTCTTAACGGACACCTCTATAAGACGGACACCTCTGTAAAACGGACACCTAGACTTGGTCCCTTCCTTTGCTTATTCCCTTTATTTGACTCTTTATAAGACGGACAGTTAGTGCCGGTCCCAAAAGTGTCCGTCTTGGAGAGGGTTGACTGTATTTTCCCATACATTTCCTTACTTGAAACCGCCGCCATTTATGACCTTACTACGCACGCGCGGCCGCCATTGTGTTCCCAATTTCTATTGATGTACGCAGGCTACCAAAGGGACACGCTATAGTGTCCGTATTCACCGGGTGTCCGTATTAACCAGGCTCGCAGAAAAAAAACGTAATGGACACGTCTGTAACGAGTTCCTCCTAAATAAACCTCACGATCATTTATCATACTACGTTTTCAAACCACCCGACAATGGAATCTGTGACTTTACTTTGTACAAACGATTTTAGTTTGCGATTCAGCCAGGTGGGCTGAATATTAGACAGAACCTTCGATGAAGGTCATTCGTCGTTTCTGATAGGTTTTCACTGCAAGATATTCAGTCATAGACAGTGTACAGATAAACCGCGTCTGTAAAGAGGGGTTGAGGATATATGGGAGTTTTTGACTCGAAACACAGGAAAATGTCCGTTTTCAAACCGGTGTCCGATGAACTTTTCGTCGGCACATACTTTAGATACAGGTGTCCGTAGAGCGAGGTTCCACTGTGTGTTCAAATGCCCATATACTTCTCTTCTTAGTCTCGCTTTCACTGTCCGCAATGTAAATTACGAACTAACGAATCAGCCACACTATAGCAAATCTCGAGAGGAAAATACAAGGCTCCGTGTAATCTGATATTTTTACGGACTTATTTTGAAAGTAAACACGCTTAAACAGTAACAAAAAAACTCACTATCAATCATTATATCCTCCAACTCTAGTGTGGACAATGAACCTGCTGTGCTGTCACAGAAACTCCTCCATAACACATCACCTGCTTTACTTCCATCAAGCTCTGTGGCTACACTTTCAATCTAAACACCAAAAAAAAATCGTAATAAGTACATTGCTGATTCAAGCAAAAACTGCCAACTGATTACCGTATTTAATCGAATAACCGCCGCCCTTGAATAAGCGCCGCGGCCCCAATATGACTATACAATCAAAATCGAAAGACGCTGATTCTGTTAGTTTTATACTTTAAATAAAAATACCATAGTTGAGACAATTCTCCGTCGCGTCCAACTTTCAAATAAATGCTGTCCTCGAATAAGCGCCGTATTTGAGAGTGAAAAATTTAATAAGCGCCGCTTATTCGAGTAAACATGGTAATTTGTCAAATTACTGCAGGAACTCTCAGTCCATCCTCATATTTTCCGAATAAAAGGAGACGAAATAATATTGTAACAGGAAAACAGGTTTTATCCTTCAACTTTTCTCTTTTTGAATTGATAGATAAGGCGTGTAAACGACAGAATGCTAGTTTACAGCCACGACAATTCAAGTGTAGGTTCCCAGGCCCTGAAAGAAAACTTCAATGCCAAAAGAATAACAATTATTGCAAGGAAGGACAACAATATCGCGGAAGGAAACCAGGGGGTAGCCTCGTACCCGTCTGGGGTGGAGATAAGAACTGACGACTGTAAGAAAATTAGACTGTTCAAGCTGTCTTATTTTTCGAAGCAATTTTTTCTGTGCTTACCGTTCCCTACTCCCTCCCTCTCGTTTCACTGTTACTCGTCTCCTACTTCATCAAATAACGCGAACAGCACCCTTTCAGAAAAAAGTTACAGTCCCCCGTTCTCATGGACAATAAAGACCTTTTTAATAAACCACCCGCAATGTACTACTGAGAAAAATAATATTCAATATAAATCATTTTTTGACAAGTGTTTTTATATTTTATAAAGATGGAGCACACAACCACCTTTAATATTTTGGCATGGCTCCAAATGTATATAAAGCTTTAATATATCTATCAAAGTTTTTGCGGCTTCGATGAACTCGCCTTTCGTGTTTTACCAAGTCTTTAAAGCCCACTCAGCTGCGTCAGGGCCCAGTTCCACGAGAGATGGTTACATGTAAGTTTAACCCGGGATTAAACAAAAGTTTAAGGTTTTCTTTTCTAAAAACAGGCCGAGAACTAGAGCTTATAAAATAGTGTTGAGCCTTAACTCCGAGATACAGTTATGATAATTTAAAATGTTACTCTAAGCAATACATACAGAATAGCATCCCAACCCCTTGCTAAGCGCCGCTCTCGAATTCGCATCTAAGTATGACACCATTTGCGACGACGAACGGCATATGATCTTTCAGGCAAAAAGCTCTCTTCTCTACAATTTTGTTGAACTATGGAACAAGAAAACGTCACCAAACCTCTTCGATGTGACCATGGGCAGCTTCGATGGTGCCGAAGGGTCATGCGAACTTGTCGGCACTTATGTCCGCCACAACATCAAAGAGAAGTTTGGTAATGCATGCAACTTTGGCTTGTACAGAGATGACGGTCTAGGCGTAACCAAGGCATCCCCCCGGCAAGCTGAGCTCATAAAGAAGGAATTGCGTAGCATATTCGCCAGGTACGGTCTGAGGATTACTATCGAGGCCAACAAGAAAGTAGTAAACTTCCTTGACATCACCCTTAACCTGACTAACGGTAAATACATGCCCTACACCAAACTGGGTAACAATCCGTTCTACGTCAATAAGAAATCTAGACATCCACCTCGAATCACGGAAAACATCCCAAAGTCCATCAATAGAAGGCTGTCCGAAATCTATATAGATGAAGATTACTTTAACAAAGCGGTGCGTCCTTACAAAAAAGTCCTCGATACTACTACTACTACTACTACTACTACTACTACGACGACGACGACGACGACGACGACGACGACGACGACGACGACGACGACGACGACGACGACTACTAATAATAATATTCTTTACAATTTTATTAAAAATAATAATAATAATAATAATTTTTTTTAAAATTTTTTTTTTAACACTAACAATTTTATTCAACTTTGAAAATATGTACATAATTTACAGAAATATTTGAAGTAAGATTTTAAAAGCATAATACAACATTAAGAATTATATAAGTCATAAGAATACAATCACTGTGTCAATAACTCTAGCAGGCAATCCAGTGATTTACATTAAGTCATGAAAAAAAAAATTATCCGTCTCTGGTATTAAAAAGAAACAAGTCAAAAAGAATAAAACCTAGTATTAAGATTAATTCGGGCAGGCTCTAATGTTTTCGATCTGTAAATCTGAGTCAACAAGGTCTAGCTGTCGTCGTCGTCTTCTGGATCACCTAGAATATATACAACAAATTGTAGTGCTGTGTGGAGTTGATCGGCTGAATTCGCGATCTCTTCCATCTGGCCAGTCAACTCTTTCAAATCGGGACCAAAATTTTTTTAGACTTTAGTTAGCCCACACTCGAAACTTGTTGAGATCATCGTAACATTTGCCGTAGAATACTTACTCTGGCTCCACAGGAGGGTTCTCCAAATACTTAGGATGAAATAAGCCGTGCTTACGAAAAAAAATAACCTCTCGAACCCAGCAGGGTATAGAATACTAGACTGTTCGAGGTCTCGGCGTCCGCTGGTTACTGGTTGACGGCATATTACTTCGCTTAATAAACGGTTGAAGGTTCTCACAATTTTGTCTCAAGGAAGCGACTTTTCCCTTGAGTTTGTCGTTTTCCTTTTTTAGAGAAATCACAGTTATATTAGGCATGGGTTGATTTCGAAAGAAGGCAAAGCCGTCTATCCCTTCTCGTAGCCAAATTATACCACTTTTTTTTTAATTCCTGAAAAAGAATCTGATGATCTCGTTTCATACCCATGGGAAGTAATTATGCGACTGCTCTGTTTTTCTTCTTGTTTTTTTTTTTTAATTTTACTGAATGGCCCAGACAGAATCACAGTAATCAAAGACAGGCTGAATTGAAGAACATATATTCTGTTTAAGTCACATTTAAACTGAGCTTATTTGCCAGTAACCAAATGTATGATGAGCATTTTTTTTTTCTCGTACAGCAAGTATTAGATAGATATTTATAGGATCTCGAGAACTGCAAAAGTCCCGACGAGCTTCCTGGTGACTTAAATATATTTTGTTTATTACACAACTCAAACTTCGGCGCACGTACTTTAAAAAAAGGTCACAAGGAAGGTGAAACCTCCCATAATCCGAAGCGAAGATCCCTTGCAAACTTCCGCGTTTCAAAGCTGGTTAAAAAAACACCGAAAAATGTGGCACCCAAGGTTTAGCCGTTTAAGAGTAGATGAATATGATGCACTTCAATATCATGCCCCAAGTGGAGAAACAGTGCAAGTTCCGCGATTTGTTCGACCGTATGAAGTGCTCCAAATTTCTGCAAACGCACCTTTTCATGAAATCAAAGAATCGTTCCGAAGAAGTGCTAATCACAGCTCAAGACAGATACGAGCTATGGCTTCTTTGGCGTACATTATTCTCGCGTCAAAGGATCAGCGATACAAAAGGACTCATTGGGGCACCTATGAAATCACAGAGAGGAACTTAAATGACGTTATCGTGCTTGCAGCTATTGGAGCTACATCAAGACTACTCGCCCAGGTACGGAAAAATAAGGGTTTGCTTACAAGCATCGATGAACCAAGCATACTCTACTGTATCTGTCTGCTCGCTCCGGCTATTATGATACAACTGAGGCTCTGCTAAAGATGGGCGTTCAAGTGAACGAGATGCAGGTAGACGATAGTACAGCTCTGCATGTCGCTGCCTACTACGGTCAGCGTGGCATTGTTGGACTTCTGCTGGAATATGGTGCACATCCAGCGACGATAAACAGATGGGGGAGTGAACCGACCAACGAGGCCAGTTCTGAACAAATAAAGCAAGTCATTCAATGGTACAGGAGTGATCGAATTTCACAGATCATAACTTTTCTGATCGAAGAGGAGCTGGTGCGAAGTGTCCGTCTGGTTAAACGCAGAGGCAAACTGATTGGAAAAGAAATTCTACGCCATGAAGATACACTTGACGTCAGGACAAGAAATAGTTTGGATTTTATAACCTCCAATTGGGTCACACTCTGGCATGGCACAAAATCCAGTAATATAGAATCTATCCTACGCTATGGACTTCTTCCAAGTGGAACAAAGCTCCAAAATGGCCTCACAATTAAACCACCCAACGGTCACATAAGGCTTGGAGTGAAGCACTTTGGTTTCGAAGATTGGGCTAAAGCCATATTTCTCTCCCCAAGCATTGCTTACGCTTCCAACAGCTGCTACTCCGAGCATATCTGGTCAAGTGGGGAAAACTGGTGCATCTTGATCAAGGCTTTAGTTGAACCCACATCGTACACAAAACATGATCACACGTTACTGAGATACAACCCAATCGAAGGAGAACCTGAAGCAACAGAGTACCGCATCCAGGTCTCAGAAAGGGACGCCATCATGCGCGTAGAGTCTGGCCGTCATGTGGTCGTCAGGTCCATCGTATTTATTTCACTTGACTTTTTGCAAAAAACACCAAATCTCCATTTTGAAGAGCTTATGTCTTGTTTTGATCACAAGCATCTCTTTTAAACTCATAGGGACAAGAGATCTGTGCATTATGGGGGGTGGGGGGGGGGCGGGTTGTAGTGCGCCACTTGGTGACTCTAACGTTACCTTGGTCGGTCTAAATAAAAAGGCAGACATTTTTCTTCTTCCTTGAAATGTAAAATTTGCTATAAGCATTTAGCAAAAAACTCTAGCGCGTGAACAGCTTCACAATGGCATTCCCACTGAATGTCGTTGCACCTAAAGCATTGTTTTGAAATGAATACATGTAAGTGTTTCAACTGTAAATGCTAAACGCATAGTTGCAGAATAAGTAACTAGTATTATATTAAAAAAGCAATTTTTACTTGAAATTGTCTTCGCCAAAAAAAAATTATAAACACTTACTTGAAAACCTTGGCAGTTCTTAAAAGTTTTTATTAAAGTGCAAATTAAACCACTTGGCTACAACTTGTGTTTTAAAGTAGTGTTTTGTACTCGGCACAATTTGGTAGATTTCTCGTTTACTTATAATCTCCAAAGATTGTTCTGTACCATAAACTGTCATAAACTGTTGCTCGCCGTTTTGTAAAGAGAGATTGATGTCTTTGCATAATTATTAGTGTAAAACATGAAAATATACCAGAAATTGTAAGTAGATGTGGCGCCAGGAGTAATTTATTTTTCTTGACAATTCAAAACTTACATATACTGGTACACAATATGGTGAACCTGAAACTTACTTCACTCTGTACATAATATTATATTCTTTGTGTTGTTGTTTCTTTGGTTGAATATCTGTTTTACAGGAATACACGTTTTTAAATAGTATGGAATAAAAAAGAGAGCCATGAAAATGCAAAAAGGGATGAAATGTGTTTGAAGTGGACAAACAATGTGAACAATGCTTTTTCAAACATGGCTGCAAGAAATGTGATTCATCTAAGAAGACACCCTCTGGACCAAGGAAAGTGTCCCTTGAATAGAAGTGTCCCCTGAATGAAGGTTGGGCTGGGATTTGTTAACAATTAACCAACAAATAGAGTATTTTATTAGAGGCAAACAAGGCGTCTGCTCTCGTAGGCTACAGAGACTGCTGGAGTAATTCTTTCAAGCAGTTACGTGTAGATAACGTATAAAAAAGTATTATTCACTCATCTCTGCGATGTTGTGAGTTAAATTCCCACAAAAGCAGTACATCGATTTAAGTCTGTCAATTCATGTTTTGACAGCTGTCGCCATTGAGACTACTGAACACTTAAACTTATCAACGATTTTTGTGGTAAGTCCCTTTTTGAGTGCTAAGGTGTCCTGCTTCCCATAATATCTTCAAAACATGTATATGCGCCCAGGCACAGATCTAGGATAAATGCTGACTGATTTCCTAAATGAGCACAGAAGGTGCAAGCCTCTAGGGGG